TCGATTAGGGTTTTTCTTTCTTGACGACGACGGCAAGTAATAAGTAACAAAAAGGGTTTTACAGTTTCTGACTTTCCTCGTCAAGTTTATTCATATTTGGTCTTCAGATTGTATCTTAAAGAGATGCAAGATGAAACTGGAAAGCGTCGGAAAATCGAAGAAAAAGTTTGCGAAGACAAGATTAGTGCTTTACCTGAAGATTTGCTGGTGGAGATATTGTTGCTTATTCCGACTGAAGATGCAGTAGCCACGGCAATGTTGTCAAAACGATGGCGTTCTATCTGGAAGATGTTGCCAAGGCTCGAGTACATCGACGACACAGACGACGAAACCGATACGAGCGTCTGGTGGTTCCTTGATAAGTCATTATTACAACTCAGCAAAGCACCTGTAATAGAAACGTTGTTTATTCAACTCGGTCCAACATGTACCGTTGATGTAGATGTCGGGTAAAGGGTCGATAACGTTGTTGAACGCTGTATTCAATGGCTAGATTTCAATCTAGTTTGGTCAGCAGAGCCAAGAAGCTTGTCTAAGAGACTATACACTTGCAAAACGCTCAAAACATTGAATCTATCAAACATGATTCTCGTTGATGTTCCTTCCCAAGCTTCCCTCCCATCGCTTGTAGAACTAGAGCTTTATAGGGTGGTGTATAAAGACGAGGAGTCGCTTGTTAGGCTTTTCTCAAGTTGTCCTGTTCTCCAAGAATTGTTTGTGAACCGAAAAGATAATGACAATGTGACAAAGTTCAGTGTGAAAGTGCCGTCTTTACGATCCTTATGGTATATGAAGTCCAATCATGTAGGAGATATTGGTGGCTCTCTGGTTATAGATTCCATGGGACTGAAGTACTTTTATATATCTGATTGGTCGGAAGACGCTTGCTTGATCGAGAATATGCCTCCTTGCCTTGACATGGCCAAAGTAGATATTAATAATTCACATCCAAATGACAAGCTTCTGATGAGATCTCTTTCTTCTGTCATGTATCTCAATTTGACTTTGACGGATAAAACGGTAATTCACAAATCGATTTCCATCTCTCCTTTTGTTGTCACATTGATGAAATCTACTTATATGTTTATGCCTAAAAATTATTTCAGGATACGATTTGTAGAACTATCAACTTCTCTCATCTAATAGAGTGTAAGCTATCTCCATATTTCTCATATTATTGGATACAATCAACTATGCTTTTGCTTCAGAATTCTCCTAAACTTAAACTTCTTATGATCAACTCTGTAAGTACCCTCTCCTCTCGTTCCTCGAGCCGGTTTTGATTTTGATTAACTTAAAATGTGTTTACTATATTTCTTGATGCTTGTGATCAGGAGTATATTGGTAAATTCATGGATCTCCCTCTTTGGAGTTCTGTTCCGGAATGCTTGTCGTCTCATCTCGAGATCTTTGAATGGAAAGAATACGGAGGGAAAAGAGAAGAGAGAAAACTCTTGAGATATATCCTTGCAAACTCTAAGTGTCTAAAGACGGTGAGAATTTCCCTGAATTCCTCCTATAGTGAAAAGAAAAAGAAGAAGATGATGAACAGGTTAGAATCAATTCATAGGGTTTCAGAATCTTCGCAGCTTTTCTTTTCTACTCAATTTAGATGGAGATCGATGAAAAATCGTCCAGCTTATCGTCAAGATTTTGGGACGGGACCAGATAAAGTCCTCTAGTCCTAGGATGTACGGCCTAGGTCTATAACCTCTTTTTTATTCAAAAAAAAAAAAACATTCAGCTTATTGTCAAGTCATGTGTTTTTTTAGTTCTTCGGTTATTTTAAGTGTACTCTAAGCATATAAACCTATAAACACAAGTTAAATATTTGTTTTGATCGATGCATTTTGTCTGAAACTCATTGATTTTGATTCTTAGTTATCAGAGAGATCAATAAGAAGTTGCCATCTCTAATATTAGAAAGATTGCGTATCCAACTAGGTGAACAATGTCCCGTCGCCTAGAGCCTTTACACTTGCAAAATACTTGTGAGATTGACTCCACCGTGCAAGATCCCCGTTGATGTTCCTTCTTTGGCATGCCTCCCGTCCCTTTGTTCTCTGTACCTTTTCTATGTGGTGTATAAAGATCAAGATTCTCATGTTAGGCTTTCATCGAGTTGCACTGTTCTCAAAGTTTTGTACGTTTGTGTTCCAAAAGAAGGATGACAATGTGACAAGGTTCTGTGTGAAAGTTGCTTCTCTAGAGAGATTATTAACATACACTCAAGGCAATGATTATGGTAGACTCCCTTGGATTACATTACATTACCTTAAAGCTCTACGATCCCTTTGCAGATTATCACCTTGATGTGGCGGTTTGGGACGTTATTACTAGCTTTGATTTTCACTCGAATGACAAGTTTCTCCATTTGATTTGGACCAATGTAGTAACCATTTCTAATATCCTTCTCTCTTATGTGATCTCTTTTGCTGTGTGTTTACTTCAAGTTGTGTTCAATTTCATCAGGTTGCATGCATATTGTAGCGCCATTTGCTACTCTGGGCTCACAGAGTTAAGCTGCGTGTTTATCGATTGGTTGGAACCACGCTTTTGCTTTATTACTCCCCTAAACTAAAAGTTCTTAGGATCAACTCCGTAAGCACCTCCCTCTCTCTCTCTCTTCCACTAACAAGTAAATGATTTTGACTTGGAAGTTAATGTGTTAATAATTCGTCCTGTTTGCATCTCAGGGAATCTCCCACTTTCGAGAGTTTCACTATTGTTCCAAACTAACTATTTACTCGGACTCTCATAAAAATCTGTACTTGGCTGTTGCATAATCACGAAACAGTTTCCACCGCAGGTTATCAAGATACACCTGCTGGCTTCAGCAACACAAGCTTCCCGTGGTCTCGAAAGAGCCCAACAGAGAAAAC